TTCACGTCGTGGTGCCAGGGAGTGATCAGCTCCTCTGAGCTTTTGAGGCTGGAGACCTTCTGACGCTGCATCTGCTCAACTTTAGGGCGTTTGAGGCGTGACCTAATGGCTGAGCTTTGGTACCTCTGTGGGGGGGGTGAAGAGATCTGGCCGGAGGCTGCTCTGGGTCTCCCCGGCTGCCAAAGAAAGATGCCATGAGATACAGTGGGTGGAATTGGGAGTGGGAAGGGGGGATGTATAACACAGAGCGGAGAAAACCAACAAGTTTCAGAAGACCTTAACTGTTGAAGGGGTTGAACTTGTTTCCAGCTGGCATGTTTAAAATGTGATTAGCCATCTTTTAAAGCGGGGTGCTGTAATCCAGCGAAAAAATTGCAACGGTGCATGTGTCGAGATGAGGGGTGGCCTTGGCTCGGCAAGGGTGGGTGTCGCTTTCGGCCCCCTGTGCGTCTAAGGAAACTGTTTTCCGAGTTGCCTGTTGGGATTTTACAGGGATCTCTCTTCCCTTACTGCTTTCCTGCCTTGGGCATGGGTGCCGGATGGGTCTGCGCTGGCCGCCTCCTGTGGCGTGTCAAAGCAGTTTGGTCCTTGGGGCGTTGAGGAGTCACCTCCCGCAGGGTGCTGCTGGGTGGACAGGGAGGTCTGTCCCCAGAGAGGCTGGGCAGGAGGGGTCTTCAGTTTGTGGCTCAAACCGTGCTGCTGCTAGCCCACATTCCCTGGCTGCTGGAGGTGGCAGGCTTTGAAATTAAAAGATCGGGCTAGCTGGTATCCTGCTTGAGCTGACAGAGCACGAATTTAGCTCTTCTTGTTTTATTTCAAGAAATCATATTAAGAAATGAGCAAAAAAGAGGCTGTGCAGCAGAGGATGCTTCCGCTGCAGACATCTGCTTCCAAAGCCATCTTGCAGAGCAATTCCTTCTGGTGCCGCCAAGCCGGCGGGGAAAGCGGAGCTGCGACGCGGGCCAGGAGGCCTCCGGGGAGGAGCGGCCAAAGGGCTGGCTTGATCGCTTCGGCAGCTCGGCTTCTGCGCCAGGCACGGGCATTGCTTCCATCTGTTGCCCATGCTCGCCTGTGTCTTGGCGAGTGCAAGGAGCTGCTTTTTTCCTGCAATTGGAGGAGCTGTGCTCTGCTCCAGGTCCCTGGCTGCCGGGAGGTGGCACGCAGGCAACTGAAAGGTCCCCGGCATAAGTGCCGCACGCGTGATGGCTCTTGTGTCCTGCCTAGCATCAGCTCTGCGGTTACAGCGAGTTGCAGCTGACTTTGAAAACTCTGCTTGTTAAAAACTGAGCTGAATTAATCTGTTGCAGTTTGGTTTTTTTTTTTTTTTTTTTTTTAAGATTAATTTCTGCAGAGGTGAAAGCTTGGGCTTTGTAGCAAAGTCCATGATTTTCTTAAGGATGCTTCGGAATATTTCTGGGGTGTGCATGTGCTCTGCATGGTAGCAGTTATCAGGAAAACTGAGCACAGGGCAGTTGGAAATGTGTAGCTGGTTAATTGATTTTAATACCATGGCAACTTGGTTTGAGTAGCTTTGTGCTTTTCCTGGTGTGGAAAAAAAAAAAAGCTGCATTAAGTGCAGGAGCAGCTCTGGATACTTATGTGGAGGGTGTTTAAAGGAGGCTTGAACGTGAGACTTTCAACTGTGCTCGTCTGTTTGTGTCGAGAGTCGGTGGAGTCGGTGGTTTTGGTGCAAGCACGGCCAGCGATGGCAGCCACGGCTTGCCTGGGGGCCCAGGGGCAGCTTTGTTGGGAGCCTGTGTGGCTAATGCTGTGTGAACTTAGAAAAGGGAGCGAGGATTAGCTCTGCCTCCTTTACCTCTCTAGGGAGCGAGGGGTGAGGGGAGCTCCATCAGGCTGCCGAGATGTTTGGGTGGTACCTCCGGGGATGCTGGCGTTTCAGCTCCCTCTGCTCGGCGCGGCACTGTGGTGTGTGGGGTTGTGCTCTTGCTTCCCCTCCACGCTCCTGGCGATGCTGAAGGAGGTGACATCTCAGGATGAAGGGCTGGCTTAGAGTTTGGGCCTGTGCTTCTGGTTTTCCATCCTTATTTTCCAGGGTTTCTCTGCCAAGAATTGGAAAATCCCTTCTATGAGCTGCCGTGACAGCCTCCGAAATGTCCAGATGGATTTGAACTTTGGTGCTGCAAGGGGCTTTGTGTATTTATTTTCAGCATCCTGCTGTCTGCTTTGCATAAGAGCCTTTGCTAGATCCTTTGCATATGCTTGTCCTTACTCCTTCTGAAAACCATTTGAGAACACTTCAGCTATGGCAAAACACACACAGACACACAAAAATATCCCAGACTTCTTGGAGAAATTCTCTTTTACCTCTGTTCCTTGGTAAGCGGTGAGGCTTGCATAGCTGTGGTGTGTTGCTCTTCGGGTGCAGCATAGTTTGGAGGCCTCAGGTAACACTTCACCAGGCTGTTTTGGACAGGTCTTTAGAAAAGCGAGTGGCTGGGCATGTTCAGTGGTGCATGGAGTCATTCAAGTGGTTTTAAAAGTGACTTACCCCTGTGCAAAGACAAAGCTACGATGGGTTGAAGCATCATAGGTTAAAAGCTTTATCTAGGTTTCTACATGGTCCACTGTGCCATCTTTCTGAGGTCGTGCTTTCCATCAGCTTTAGCTGATCTCAGGCTGTTCTCCTGCCAGAAATCCTTCCCCCTTTATTTTCTTCTTTCTGGGCTGGCTTCCAGTTGGATCAAGCAAACGATGGTTGCTACCACAAGTGTAGAGATGACTGGGATGTGCAGAAGGGGAGGAGGGAAAAGGCAGGACTGTCTGTTGTGGTGGCAAAGGATGGATTTGGATCAGTTAAGCTGATGAGCACGTGGGGGTGGGCATGGGCATGGCTTGCTGAAAGGCACCCTCCCTGTAAAGGAGGGGTAAGGACTGCAAAGTGTGTTAGTATTTCTGGGAGGCTACGGTAGAGTCCTTCGAGGTGTATGTGCCGAAAATGTTCAGCTTCCCAGTTGACCCAGGGGAGGTATCCCTCTGGGAGGACTTTGAGCGCAGCTTTTAAATGAAATCTTCTGCTGAGTATATCAAGGAGAATATTAGATTGAATGTAAGGAAGGAATTTTCTGTGAGTAGGCTGGTGGTGCACTGGACAGGCTGCGCAGAGAACTTGTGGATGCCCCATCACTGGAAGCAGTCAAGGTCTGGTTGGATGGGGCTTTAAGCAACCTGACCTAGTGCCCACGGCAGAGGGTTGAAGTAGATGATCTTTAAAAGGTCCCTTCCAAGCCAAACCACTCTGTCATTCTGTGATTACTCTGCTTAAACACACTGCAGACCAGGGCCTGATGTGTTAGCGCCTCTCTGGCAGGGAGCAGGACAAATCCTGCTGTCCTTTTCTTCTCTAGCCACAAGGCTGGGGGTAAGTTTATCTTCCTGCCTGACTATGTTATAAACATTTATCTGACCCATCTCCGGCTGAAAAGCCATTCTGGTAGGTGCTTGTTGCAAGTATGTTATTGCCTTGACGATGACTTCTCAAGGTCTGTTGGCTGGGGAGCTGGTGTGTTTTTGGTAGCTCTTTCAACATGCGAGCCTTATCTGAGGAGTTCATCGTAGGTGCTTGTGTTGAAGGGGGTTGTGCATCTCCTTGTTAAAAGCGGCGCAAACACTCAGCCTTGCTGTTGGTTGTGGGGGGCCGGAGCTGTTTGCTTGAGCTCGAAATTGCTGGTGTTGCAAGATCACCCCAGGAGGGGGGGAGAAAATTAACGTAAGCCTCTTAAAGCTGTCAGGAACACCCCATCCCCCTATTTGGGCTTCAGAGTAGGGTTTCTTTTACGATGGGTGAATCTGCTTGTGACAGGGGCATTAGGAAAGCTGCACGGTCAGGCTTGGGGTCTGGCAGGTCCCCCAAGGTCATGTGCCTGCTCTCTTGGCCAGTGCCACCCTTCTCTTGCACTGCTGATGTCGTGGGGGTCTTCTCCGGCCACTCCCGCTATGCAGAGCCCTCCTATTTCTCTGCCCCACTGTTTTGCTTGCACCCATCACTCCTGATCTGGTGGTGCTTCCTTTTCCCCTTGTCGGTCACCCGGTATCACTCAGTCCTCTGCCCCCATGCTTCGTCACTTAAAAAAACTCTGGTGAATTTGCTGCATTAGATGAAATAAAACGTTATCATGTCTCCGCAGCACCAGTTCGGTCTGCCAACAAGCAACACGACGTGGTGTCAAGGACAGAAAGAGGTCGCTGGGGTGGTGACACTGAGAAATGCATGTTTGGTGGACACGTTGGAGCCGCAGGAAGGCAGCAGAGGAGCTTTGTTGGCATTCGTGTGTGATCCGTGCCCTGCACTGCCCAGAGCGTGGTCGTGTCTCCGGGGAGGAGCAGCCCCGGGGCAAATGATGCCGCTGGGCACTGTGAGAAGGGAGTTTTGGGATGGGGGCCTGATTCCCTGGCACTCAGCTGTGTTTCCAGTATATCTGGTTGCTGCGGGGCAAAACACTTTGTCTGAGAGCTGCGGTTGCTTTGGGGGAGGCATACCAGGCCACCTTCATATGGGTTTGATTAAATCCAGCAGTACTTGGAGAAGCTACAGGCATCTCTGTTTGCCTTGCTCAATGGTACTGGGCGGTGAGGAGCTTGAACTTTGCTGGTGATGTTTTTGCAATGTTGTCCAATAGCAGCAATTGCATCGAGAAAGTTGTTAGAGGAGAAAGGAGCTGGAGGAGGAAGGGAGAAAAGGTTGGGTGCATGGCAGCTGTGCTGCCCTCCTGCACATGCCAAGCCCTGGTGCAGGAGGTCAATGCCAATGCGGATGGAGTCCTGCAGAGTTAACGCAGTCCCTTTAAATATAAGTCATGTGAAGCTAAGGTCTGAATTTCCTTGCTGAGGGAGGAAAGCTGTCCTTCCATGCTTTTATAAATAAGCGGCGGCTGAAGATTATTGGCCAGGTTGGATTTGTCGTGTTATTTCTGTCTTTGTAGAGACTTTATGTTCTACGGTGTTCAGTTACTGACTTCACAAGAAAAAAATAGAAGACCCTCCTGGAGGTACCCAACACGAGTAAATAACTCTCATGTTTTGGCTTGAGCGGTAATGTAAAGCAACAGGGAGAGCAGTTATAAATGCTAATGGAAAATCTGTGCTTGAGGCTGGAGTCCAAGGCCTGTGCTGTGGTCTTGTGGTCTTCAGCATTGCTTTCATCCTTAGAAATGCCTTCAGCCCTTCTGTAATGGGAACGGAGGAAGGGGGAGATGGGGAGCTGAATGGGTAGCAGTCTGTCTGGGTGCTTTAAACACTGTCTGGCAGTGGCTGACGGCCGTGAGTCACCCGCGGAGACGGGGGAAAACAGGCAAGTCTCCTCCTCTCAGTCCAAGGTAAACCAGTGTGCCGCATGAGTAAGTTTTCTCGCCGCTCCTAACGAGGTCCAGTCGGCAGGAAATGTGTGAGGAGATGCCGGGCTGATCCTGTACCTTATCATAGAATCGTCTAGGTTGGAAAAGACCTTTAAGATCATCAAGTCCAACTGTTAACCTAACCCTGCCATCCCACCACTAAACCATCCCTCTGCTGATTTGGTGCTTTGGCTGCAGAGGTTGTCCCACCCTGTTTCCTTACCTCTCCCCACTTCCAAATCCTCTCTGCGTTCCAACATGCTTTGGGGATGGTTGCTCATCCACTGTGTTTGCTGGTGCCATTGCGAACCATTGCACAAACGGGAAAAGTAAAACCGTCTGAGATGTGGCGACCTTTGCTTCAGCTGTATCATAGGAAAAATGTCTCCTTATGGCTGCTTGGAATGTTTTCCCGTAAAAGATCTTTTTTTCTGATGCTTCTTCTTTGGCAGGCAGCAGGCGCTTTGCATGCCTGCAGTGAGGTGTTTCGGCAGCCTGTGGAGGCGACTTCTGCCACAGCTTTTGCTCTTTGCTCGATGCTGTTAGATGTCTTTTGTGGTACTAATGTACTTTATAGTTGCTTTATAAAGCAATCAGTGGGGAATATAAAACCATTCATATTACGAAACCATAATGATGAATCAATAGTAATAATAACGAAAAAATGGAAGCAGCCTGGCTCTGACATCAGATGGTGTTCATCTGCTCTGCTCGCTAGAAGAAATTGCACAAGTGCTGGGGAGCAGGAGATCTTCAGGCTCTGGAATGGGCTGCCCAAGGAGGTGGTCGAGTCCCCATCCCTGGAGGTATTTAAAAGAAGGATAGATGAGGTGCTTAGGGACATGGCTTAGTGGTGGGATGGCAGGGTTAGGTTAACGGTTGGACTTGATGATCTTAAAGGTCTTTTCCAACCAAAGCAATTCTATGATTCAGCAGCATCTCAGGGGGAGGAGTAGGGCAGTTGCGCAGGTGGCTGCTGCTGTCCCGTTATCCGCCTCTCTTCTGCCCCTCTGCTCCAATGTTAACTTCAGTGCACTGACTGTTGAGGAGGCTTTGCTGGATGAACAGCCCTGATACGGGACTCATCGTCTTGCCTTTTGCCTTAGCTGCCTTTGGTTTTGGAGAAGTCCCCCTGACAACCTTGTGCCGGGTACCTCTGCTGTGGTGTCAGGAATGTCTTCAGGGCAGGGATCTAATGCCCTCCCGTCTCTTCTGAGGTTGCCTTGGCATCCTTCCTTTTCACCAGCCAGTTCTTATTAATGTTGCTAATTACTGTTCTCTCTAATGCTTACAGAATTTGCCAGTTCCTGTATGCCGATGGGGATCGTGCTCTGGCTCCTCATTGGTGCCTTAAGAGAAGCCGATGCTCTGAACAGGTACGTTTGCCGCGCTCCTGGCGAGGGGGAGAGGGTCTGTGCGTGTCCAAGAGTGAAAGGGGTGCAAGGTTTGCCTTTTGGGTGTGGATTGACAGGTAGAGACCACTCCGCAGTGAATAGCTTTTTTCCGTCCAGATGTCTTGTGGAAACACCCAGGCAGAAGGTAAGGTTTGCACTTAACCTTGCTGATGGCCGTCCGAGGAAAGCATTGGAAAACACGGCGTCGCTGCAGAGCGGCTTCTGGGAGGCCGCGCTCCTTGCTAACGTAGGCACAGCCTTTTCCTTCTCATAGCACCAGCTGGGGAATCCCAGTCGAGCTGGTGGCTGTGCGCGCGCCGCTGCTGTGCCCGCCTGCGTTGCTGGCCCTCGGTAGCTTCCCCGTAGCGTGTGCCTGCCCGCCGTCCTGAGTGGGGGTGGGAGGAAGCTGTTTTCATGTTGGTATCCAACCACAAACAGATCTGCTGTTGTTTTCTTAATGTATGGCAAGAACAGCCCGTAGCAGCTTATTCCTCCCTGGATAATTACTGCTCTGCTGCCGATTGCCATTGGAAGCAGTGGAGTTGTGCCTCCTCTGCGCTGCCCGGTGCATCCTTTTGCCCAAGTTATTTGATGGATTTCTTGCTTTAAGGCATCAGCGCTCAACTGAAAAAATCTCATCTGTGCTCTCTGCAACAGTTTGGCACTGCAAGTGGATTGCGTGAGTCGGTTGTAGTCACCGCGATACCAAACGTGCTTGCAGCGATGCCCCTGGCTGTGCTACCAGGAGGTCCGTTGGCACCTTGATTTCAATTCCTGCATTACTTTCAGGAGAAAATATGGGGCTGGGTTGCAGGCTACTTTTTTATTAACTGGAATTACGTTCCCAGTTGACCAGAGGTGTGTGTGCAACCCCTGGAATTGGCGTGGAATATTTTGCCGGTCGTGGCCGCTCAGGGGAGGTCTGGGAAGGGGAGGTAGATGGATGGTGCTGCAGGAGCGTTGATGGACAAGGAGGGTTGGCCTGGCATGCCAAGCTTGAGCCTTCAGCTTGTCTTAAGAGCTTACAGAGCAAAAGTGTCTGCAAACATCCATCCCTGATGGATCACGTCCCAAAATGGCATTGCTTTGCATTTGGCATGCCTGAATGGCCCATTTGGTTGTAGGAGGAGATAACCGTAACTTGCTGCACGAAGCTTCCTTGATCCCTAAAAAAGTGAAATGGATTCATTATGGAAAGCAACCTTTCTTGAAAACCTGGTTCATCTGGGACTGTATGGGTGGCGCGACGAAGGTGCTGGAGGAGTAGGAGTCAGGGCGGAGCTGTCTCTGCCTAATTCCCCTGTATTCCCTGGGGTTTATCGCACTGGGCAAGCAGACGTGCTCTCCACTAAGGAGCTTAAAGCAGAGCTGGCTAGCAGGGCACTGCCTGCGCTTCCCATGCGAGCCTCCTCATTGTACTTTATTTCTCTTAAATTAATTTTCTAGCATTAAAAGGCCTCTTTCTAAAGGCAGAGCCATAAGGAGAGGAGCAGCAGCAAAGGTAGGAGTGCCTCCATTTGCTAGCAAGCTGTCGCAGGTGTGTTGGAGTCGGAGGGAGCCAGCACTGAGTCAGTGCCCCAGACTCCTGGTGACTCAGGTGGCAAAAAGCCCAAGTTGTTCTCCTGCATGCCTGAATTACAGCGAATTTCCTGTAACGGGGGTTTGCCTCCCGTAGTGGCCGCATAGGGAGTGGTGTGTCATCCTCTTCCTCACGTACGGGTTATGTGCAGCTCGGTTCACAGGGGATGCAGGCAAGTGGTGGTGGTGGCACTTCTATTCCTGCCAAAACAGGTGGAAACTTGATTTACCTCAGCACCCTCGACCCTACTGCTCCCTCAACCTTCTTCTCCACCTGTGTTTTTTTTTTTTAAGACTGGACAAGTCACAGTAGTTGCATCAGTCTCTGTATTGAGCTTGATGAGATTCTCATGGAGATCTGGAGGTTGTGTTCTCCTGGCAGGTCTGCTTGCATGCACTGTCCGCTACTTCATTGTGCTGGGAAGGGATCTATTTTCTGAAATATGGTTTATTTTTAGTCAAGGCTTTCCCTGTCTAATTGGCAAAAGTTCAGCATTTGCAGTGCGATTTGCAGAACAAGCAATTCCACCAAATACTTGGGCTGGGGGAAGGGAGAGGAAATGTTGTATTAGCTAGCGAAAAAGCTAAATGCTGACTTGAAAAAACAGCTTGAGACGCTGTTGTGAGAGCAGCTTGAGACGCTGTTGTGAGAGCACAAGGATGGGTAACACAAGTCGAGAAGAGCATTGCGTTTGCTGCGCTGGGTGATTCAGTCGGGGTTGCTCTTGGTTTTGCTCGGGATGGGTGCCACAGAGGCCAGCCAAGGGTGGATGGATGGGAACTGCTGTTCCGTGTCTGGTGGTGGATGTAGCCAACCTTCTGGCCTGGCCCTGAGCCGTGACTTAGCGAACTCGCCCTAGCCCGCAGCATCCATGGGAAGAGTACGTCCGTGCAGCGCACCGTTCCGTCGCGCCCACACTTGGGGCCGCTGGAGGCTCGTGGAGGGCTTAGCTTCGTGACGATGCGGGCATGATCGTCCCCGTGTTTGAGCACCCTTGTCAGATACCCTGAAGCGAAGGGCAGCGCGGGGGATGTCCCGGGGCAGTGCTGCAGCTGCCTCCTCCTCCTCCTCTCCTTTCCTCGCCAGCTGCTGCTCCAGGGATGAACCATCTTCATGCACCTCATTGCTTTTGCCAACTGCTTATAACGATGCTGGCTCTTGAACTGGCTTCTCACATGAACAGCTGCCCTTCAGAGGTGCAGACATCTTTCTGTCTTGCTCTTGCACCTCCCCTGAGATTCCCACCACTCCTTTGACATCCGTGTTACTGTCAGCTGTTAATGCCGCGAGCACCGGGTGTCTGAGGGTGACACCAGGGACCGTGTGACTGCGTTCAAAGCCTTCGACACTTACTCCTCTGACAAATAAGGCCTGGCTCCATATGTGGGCATGTAAATGATTTGTCTGCTGCTGCAGGTTGCCTCCTGCAGTTTGCTTTATCCTTCCTTCCCCCCTCCCCACCATAGCAGGCAGTTGTGCAGCAGCTTTGTCACAGTTCCATTAAGATAAAAAGGAGAAATTGTTGAGTTTCAATTTTCTTCTGAATGTTTGGAAACCAGAAGAAAGAGGGGAAGTACCACTAGATTTTAGGTGTGTTCTGCATTTGGCCCAAGTGGGTATACGTTGCCTGCAGGTAACAGAGCTCTATCTTTGTGAAAGAATTGGGGATGAAACTTTTAAGTGCCATTCAGTCACTGGGGTAGAAACACCATGAGAATCAAGGAAAGAGCACCCATCAGCTGTCTAGAGCAGCAATCTTTCCAGAGGGAATGAATCTAATTTAACCTGATACAAGGATTTATGCAGTGGGGGAAGTCTCTGCCATTTCCTGCGGAGCTTCCTGGGAAGACTGGGAAAAATTAAGTGCTGAAACGCCCCTCGTCTCTCCAGGGGTGGAGGGGGTTATGTTTTCCTAAGACCTGTTATTATCTTCCTGTTGAAAAACCATCTGTATCAGCTGGCAAATTAGGATGGGTTTAGCTACTCAGTTTTCCCTGGTTCCCTGGAGACTTGCTCGTTGCAAACCTCTTTGCAAATCCCCTGTCCCTGTGGGATGCAGAACATCTTGCATGCGTCCCAGTGTTGCTGCAAGCGGTTGGCACTGTGCTTGCTGTACACCTGATGACCTGTGGATATAGAGGTTTCAGAATTTTGAAGCTTTTCCTTAGGGAAAATTTGTGGTGGTTTGTTTTTTCCTTCCTTTTTTTTTTTTTTTTTTTTCTTTTTTTTTTTTCTTCCTTATATTGCTAATTATTTCAGGGGAGCTCTTAATCTTAGTGCTTTCGCCCTGAAAGGTATGTCTCTGCCTCTTGCTCTCAGAGGTCAGAAGATAGGTTAGGAAAGCCAGTCTCTACTTTAAATGGCCTTAAGCACATGAATATTCAGCTCAATTTCCTTTTACAGCAGCGTGTTACAAAATGAGCAGGAATCTTGGGGCATCCCTGGGTCAGCTTTTCTTCTGACCCTCGGGTGAAAGCAAGGAGTCTTTCGCTTCAGCGGGTGTGTGCTTGGAGCAGGAGGCGTCCACCTCGAGCTTTGAGTGCTGTGGTAGGAAAATATTTCTCCTATCAGTGAATTTTTGCTGATACTGTTGAACTATGCTTAAAGTATGTGGACGTATTTTGTTACTTGCTGATGAAGGCACCGTGGAAATCACCATCCTGGGCTGGACCAAAGGAGCATCCGAATTGCTTATGTCCAGAGCAATACCCTGTCTCCAGTGGGGATAGAGGATCTGCTGTGGAAGGAGCTGCATGGAAGCTGAGCAGCCTAATTCAAGACTCCAGCCTGGCTTGGTGGCTTGCGTATGTGCTGGGTTTTCACCAGGCTGAGAGCTTCATTTGGCTGGCAGCCTCCAGCCCCAGGTAGCCTGGCAGGTGAGGAGCAGCCAGGCCTGTGGCTGAATGCCGAAACCAAGGTCTGCATGTGTGGTTGCAGCGGTGGGAGGGATGTGTCTTGGTTACCTGCAGTGAAGGATGGAGCTGACTTCTGCAAGGTTTAAGATCTTGGTTTGGCACAGATGAGCAGTTGTGGCACGCAGATCTGTTCTTTGGGCATTTCACCATTCATGCTTACCTATCCCTCTAGGCACGACAGTGACAATTTAAGTGTCTTTTAATTTACTTTCACATGCAGAGATCTGGTGTAGCTCTTGTGGAGGGTCAGCGTTCGGTGCCTCTCTAAATTGCCACTTATCCCTTGAGGTCGTTGTGCTCTGCTTTGCTCTGTAATTATTTGCCACTCATTGCATGCTTCCCAGCAGTTTTCACTGCAGCTTTTAAAAGGGAAGGTAGGGAACAGCGGACAGATGGACGTCTGGGAGGGCTGCTGGTAGTGGGCAGGGGGAATGGTTTTAGCCCTGATGCTTAACATACTCCCCAGGCAGATCTCGCTGCGACTCTTG